TGCACTCTGCGCAGTCGTCCGTATCTATTTCCCAATTGGCATCATATGTGCCTGGGGGACAGTCCGAGCAATTGGTGCCGTTGAAGACTTGGCCCCTGCCGCAGATTTTCCTGACCGAGAGCTCATAGCTCCAGGCATCGTCCTTGTAATCGGTTAAAGAGGACACTCCGCCAAAGATGACAATGGTGGATTGGATCAATACCCCAGCAGAGCCATAACGGCCGGATGGCGCAGCCAGGGTGTGCCATTGGCCAGCAGTTAGGTCAAGCTGGTAGAGTACGGAAGAAAGTGTGTAGCCATACTGGCCTCCGTGGATAAACAGCTGATCTGATAGCTCGCTATACATCATGTTGCTGCCTTGTAGACGCCCGGGCCCATTTGCGGCAGAAACCGGGCTCCAGCTGTTGGCAGCGAAAGCATAAATCCACAGGTCGTTACGCACACTGCTTGTATAATCGTGACATGAAAACCTTCCGCCAAACACGAACATCAGGTTCCGTCGCTTTGACACACCACTAGCCGCTCGGCTTCTTTGACTTGGAAGGCTGGTGGTGGCTTCAGGTTGTTTCCAAGACAGGCTCGCCAGGTCCAAGGACCAGAACTCTCCGGAATGCGTGCACGACGTAGACGTTGCAAATTGAACAACTCCTCCAAACACAAACAAAGCACTTTGATCTGGCGCGCACTCCATGATGTGTCCACTGCGAGGAGCCGGATTGAGCTCGCTGCTGTACGTAATCTGGGACCAGATTCGTGCGGCTGGCTCAAAATGCCACATATCACTCATGATGGTTGTCCCATGTTGCCCACCAAAGACATAGAAATCCTTCCCAACAGCTGCGGAAGCATGCTGAGAGCGTGAAGCAGGTGACAGTCCTGATGTCAGGAGCAAGTTCCACACAGAACCTGCAAACCGCCACACATCCGAGAGAGAGCCGTAGCCATCGTGGCCACCGAAAAGTAGTGACCCATGGCTTTCCACGTTGGTGAAGGTGGCCCATGCTCTCGGACCGGGGCCTTCAACTTCCACCTGAACACCGCCCCAAACGGTTTAGGGTAGAGGGTTAGGGTTTAGGGTTTGGGGTTTAGGATCTGCAAACTTGCTCGAGGACCCCCCGCCTCCTTCCATGACTCCCACCCTGAAACGCCAGCCACGAGCACGACGAGCGCTCCAGCTACTGCCATCTTCCACATGCGACGGTTCCGACCTCTCACCAGCCTCAGCTGGTCCGTCGACAACAGTGTCTGACATGAACTGTCATGAGCTGAGTTGGTTCTGTACTCCTGGCAGTCACTCACACTATGTATTCGGGGAGTCAAACTCTCATTTGCCAAGGCAAAATACAACTTGTTTCTCACCAGATTGGCTCCTTTTTCTGTGCGTAGAGTCCACACCCGCGCTCAGACCGAAATGATTTCTTACTCGTGGCCTCTTCTCGTGCTAACATGGTGACCGATCTCAACCCAAGACAGCCTTTTATTTACACATCTTGATCTCTACAGACGGAGTTCTTTATAAACTCAACAAATTCACAGAAGAAGTGGTCTCGACCACTCGCTGACAAGAGAAACTGAGTGCTGCACGTCCTTTCAACTTTTCTTGCTGTGAGCCGATAAAAATCATTCAGAATCAGCAGTGGATGCCGGGAAAGTGGGCAAGATTCATGTCCTGTGTAGCTTCATTGGGTAAAGTGGAAACCCAGATTTGGCAGCAAGCTTGAAGATCCGAACGCCCGAAGGCATTGAAGGGGGCCAAGGCTTTCACAGGTGCTTACCTTAAACCAAGCCCTTCCGACTGCCATTGCCCCGCTGGCCGGTTTTGCCCTAAACCCTACTTAGATTTTTTGCCTAACGGCAAAATGGGGGCGCGAAGCAAACAAAAAACAAAACCCCCCAAAACCCCAACCTTTCAGCCCCAATCCCGCAATCCAACCCCTCAGCACCCCAAAGCCCCCCAAAACCAATAAAACACCATAACATGCAGGAGTCCTCAGCCCTCAACGGCCCTCAACAATCCCTCAGCAGTCCCGGAACAGCCCCCTCGCAACCCTCAACAACCCCCTTCAATAGCCCTTCCCTTCAGCAACCCCGCCCCTCAACAGCCCCTCCTTCAATCCCTCTCCTCTCAGCCCCTCCTCAGCCCCTCTTCAACCCCTTCTCAACTCAGCGGTTCAAGCCCTCAGCCCCTCAGCCCTTCAGCCCCTCAGCCCTTCAGCCCCTCAGCTCTTCAGCCCCTCAACCCCAACCCCTCAGCCCTAGCCCCTCAAACCCCAGCCCCTCAGCCCCAGCCCCTCAGCCCCAGCCCCTCAGCACCCCAAAACCACTCACCCCCCACCATACCGGACAAAACCCAAACCATTGCAGCAAAACAAAACCCCAGCCTCCCCTCAGCACCCCAAAACCACCCACTCCCACCACGCCCGACAAAACCCACACCATTACGACAGAAGCAAAAAAAAACTCCCCAAACCCGACAAACTCCTACAACCGTAAAACCCTTAAACCCTGAACCCGGGGATCCCGAAAAATTCATGGGGCGTGTCCAGCGTCGACACTGCATACCGCCAAGTGGAAGTGAATGTGCGAACATGGTGATTCTGTTGTTGTTGATATGTGATCGTGAGGCCGAACCCCCTTGAACAGCTGGCGGGCGGCGACCGTCATCTGAACTACCCTGGATCAAGAGATTTCCTTGAAGATTCCCTGAAGGTGAAAGGGCACCCACGTCATCATTGTCGTGCTAGAACCATAGATCCAATCCGGAAAGCCTAAACCTCAATCCGGGTGATTCCTAAAATTCCGGGAATTTTCAGCTCCGGGTGATTCCCAAAATTCCCAGGATTTTTAGACAATAAGCATTAAAATTCCCGGAATTTTCAGGATCCCCCTGCAAGGCCCTCACAAGCAGCCAAATCGACCGGAAGAGGAGGCGGGGCATCCGACAGGGCGGCCGCAGAGCGAAAATAGGGGTCGAGCCCGTAGCCTTTTATGGGGATATTTTATGGGGATATATTCATATCTTTCATCGTTCATCATAATTCTCCGAAATTATTGGGAGAATGCCCTGATCATTGTGCCACAGGATTGAACCCAAAGAGTAGCAAGAGTGACTGGATTTTATGCTGCCGCCTCTTCACAGGTCCTAGTCGCTCCTTCCGGCTCGGAGTCGCAGTGCAGAGTCGCCAGGCTACAGGGTTTAGGGTTTAGGGTTTAGGGTTTTTGCGGTCTGGAACTCCATGTTTGTGCTCCCACGATCCAGAATCTTGGTCCCTCAACCCTACTGCAAAACGACTAACTTCCCTGCATCGGATGTTCCGGGCTTGGGGGTTGGGTGCTTGGCGAAGATACTGCGCACCCCTGCCAGCGCCACCTATCACTCGCATATCTTCCGTCAGAAAGTGGCTCATAGCTCGGGTCCTGCGGACAAGAACTTGCTGCATCAACTTGCGATCTCCACTACTCCAGAAAAACCTCAAGGGACCATGCTTGTGGCAAGTGAATGTGTTCAATTCGGACCTCTTTCTGCGGTCGGCGCCCTCATACCGAACCTCCCTAGCTGATGCTTAGGGTTCTGACGGGTCTACGGGCGAATCATGTGCACATGAGTCGTGAAACCAAGAAGTGACTGTATTTGGCCATGCTTTGCGAATCGGTCGATCGCAGAAGCCGATCAAGCCAGCAGTTCGAGAGTTTGAAAATCCAGGTGCTTGAGGGTTTGAAACCTCGATGTTACCGTGAATGTTTCAGAAATGGAAAGTTCGAATGTTTGAGGCAGAGCGAGTTCGCAAGCTTGACAGTGGTTATCAAAACAATGCACAAACCTGGTGCCATTACTGACATCAATCATCAACCACTGAAGCACTAAACCACTAAACCATTAAACCAATCGATTCAGCCCATAGGGAGCGAGGATCACCATTAAACCTTGAAACCAGTAAACCAGCCGATTCTGCCCAAAGGGAGCGAGGGCCACAATGAAACACCAAACCGTCAAACCATGAAACCATTAAACTGATAGACCATTAAACCGTTGATCCCAATCAAATGTGCCCATACGTAATACGCAGGAAGGAGCACCTCAAAGCCATTCAACCATACCTGTTGATTCTGCCCATTTGGGAAAAAGGGTTGGTTTAACGATGTTTCAGCCAATATGGTGTAATGGTTTACTGGTTGGGTTGATATTTTAATCATCGCTAGATGACAGAATGCACAGGGCAACCGCTACAGGCAGGAGACCCTGATACTAATGTAAACATACTGGAATACTTATAATTCTAACTAGAATACTACTTAGAATACTCGAATATTTCGACTTTCGAGTATTTGTAAATAGAAAATATCCAAACTTGCGGGGCGCCGCCGAGCACCACACTCCACCACACACCAACAAACCCTAACTCCCAGACCCTAAACCCTAAACCCGAATCCCAAGGGTCCGTACTCAAACCCTAAACCTTGGCCCCTTACACTAACAGTCCTTAATAGGACTTACAATCAGGGGTACTATAATCCCTACTAAGGACTGTTGGTTTAAGGGGGAACATCCCAACCTAAACCTCAAAGCAACTGGCGCGGGTCCTCGCGAGAGGGTCTACACCTGGCTCTTGGAAAGCAGTCTCCGTCTTATGTGGAAGATTAGTGATTGGTGGCTTCGGGCACGGGGTTTACATGGGGCTGAGCTCGTGGAGCTTGGGGGTCAGGGTTGAGGGGTTTAGGGTTCGGAGTTTATGGTTCTAAGGGCTGTGGGGGCTTTTCAAGGTTTTGCTTGACATCCCTGCGCACTGATCCCTGAACCGCAACAGCCCGGCGTCTCGGAGCCAACTCGGCAGGGCAGTTTCAGAGAAGCACCTCAATTCGCCAAGGGTCTTGGAACCTGCGAAGCAAAAAGCCTAAGACGCAGAAACCCTAAACCCGGAACCCGGAACCCTAAACCCTAAACCCTAAACCCCAAACCTTAAAGTGCTAAACCCTAAACCCTAAACCCTAGACACTAAACCCTAAAGTGAATAAAGCCCGACATCTCCCTGAGCCCTGGACGGCGAAACCTTGTAGGTCTTGGCAAGGCTTAGGATCATGGTAGGGCCGTAGGGCTCAGGAAGGACCCAATCCACCTCAACACCTTTAACCTTGCATCCCAAACCCTAAACCCTAAACCCTAAACCCTTAAACGCGAGGCTGGCCACCCTTTCACGGCTGCGTGAGCGAGGCTTGGGCTCCTTGTCTGCATCTTCTGCTTCTGAGGGGATGTATACTTAGTTGCTGAGTTCATAACCCCCCAAAACTACTAGCTGCTTAAGAACACCAAAAAAACATTCTTCCGTATTAAGGGTAATATAGGGATTATTGTTCTTTATTCTTTTGGGGGTTCTTGAGCAAAATAGTAGAAAAAGAGTACACTTTCAGTTCTATAGGGGATTATAGTATCCAAGAAAGTGTAAAGTGTACTCATTCAGCTACGAAGTATAGGGGTGCAAGACATGGCTGCTCAAGGACATTGTGGTATTCATTTTTGGATCTTCAAAAATTTCAGGTCAAAACAGACATCATTTGATAACAAGCCACATGCAGGGCTTTTAGAGAGCTGGGGTTTAGGGTGCAGGGTTCAGGGTTCCGGGTCTAGGGCTGATAGTTGGAGTCAGAGTCCATGCGTGTAGGCTACTAGGCCGTCAGAGACACACTTTTCAAACGCGCTGCGAGGGGGAGGGGGGGGGAGAGGGGGAGGAGGCGCCCCCAACTTGACATCTACGCATCTTTTACAGGGTCCAGGGTTCATGTAGGGTTTAGGGTTTAGGGTTTAGGGTTTAGGGTTTAGGGTTTAGGGTTTAGGGGTTAGGGTTTAGGGTTTAGGGCTGATCTTGAGGAAGTGCCCAAACTTGCCGTCTTTGTGCCGGGCTTGCTGAGTCAAAGTGGGCTGCGGAGCTTGCTGCATCAAAAGGAGGGAAGTACCCTTAACTCAGCTTCCTGGAGTTGCCATGAGCCCCAAGGGGGTTAGGGTTTAGGGGCTGGGCTTGGGGGGGGGGGGGGTGAATGTTGTAAATTGGGATGTTCCCCCTTATACTCGCAGTCCTTAATAGGGATTCTAGTACGCCTCCTCCTTCATTATAATCCCTATTAAGGACTGTTAGTAAAAGGGGACATCCGAAGTTGCAACCTTTCAAGCACAAGCTAATACAAGCCTTCAAACACCATGA